TTGGTTTTTACACACACACACACACACACACACTACTGGATCGAAACCTTCTTGGTCACATGATCTTTGTAACATTTTTGAAAAACGGTAATTTAAAAGAAAACAGATTCCCGTCTGATCAATAAAAAATAAAATGGATATTTGTAAATCATTCTGAGGTTACTCACCTGAACATCTCTGTGAGCTCTCCTTTGATCAGTGCTACGATGACGGGGAATCCGACGCAGGCCGGGACCAGGTAGAGCAGGGCGGGCTGCAGACAGACAGGGTAACGTTATTATAGATGTTATTATAATCAATATTATATATAATCAATCAGACTCATTCTCCCAGCCTCGCAGCGTGCGACCCCTGACCCCTCGTACCTGTGCGTGTTTGAAGGTGTGCATGACGAAGATGGTGAGGCCCAGTCCGAAGATGTAGGCCAGGAAGCTGGAGTAGAAGTACGTCCTGCTGTTCTTCTTCAGGCTGCGGGGACAGAATCTCATCATGAGGAACCTTCAACACACTGAGGAGGAGGAGGAGGAGGAGGAGGAGGAGCTGTTACCTGACATCGAAGCGCAGCAGCAGGGCGATGAAGATACCCGGGATGACGATGTCACCCAGACCCAGCATGGCGAAGTTACTGGCTTCCAGTCCTCTCTCCAGCAGGTCCTGAGGGAAGACCACTGGAGGGGGGACGGAGGACATGAATGAGCTCGGACCGGCTGCAGAGACGCCACAGATCTGAACACAACCTCACGTACTTACATTTGATCGGTGCTTCGAAGGACTTGGCGACTGTTACCATGACGTTGGTCCCAAACACCTGAAGAGAGAGAACAGACGGTGTGTTCAGGTGCTGCAGGACATATTTATACAGGGTTCCCACTCTACTGAAGAAATCATTTTACAGGAGTTTTCTTCACAGGACAGAACTTGCTCTCAAACTGTTAAATCATTTGCACATTTTTATTTCTTTGACGACAGTTTACGGCAGTTTCCTCAAACTCGGGTTTACGTAGTCGATTGAGTGAGGGGCTGAAATACAACTTATATTTTTCAGGATATTTGATCATTTTAATCAATCTCCAGGTGTTTCCATGACTGGAAAACTAGTCTAGTAAATATCCGTGTTTTCCAGGATTGCCTGGGAACTCTGGTATCAAATTATCTAGCAGTGAAGTTCAGCTCAGCCTCCTGGTTGCAGGAGAAACTACGGTGGCCATTAACTGAATATTATATTCCATTTCTGCCAAAAGTTACACACTGGACCTTTAACACAAACAGCTACACTTCTTTAGACACTGAGCTGGGGGAGATTTTACCATTAAATAATATAAAAGTCTTTTTATTGTCAGTGAACGTGTTCAAACTCACCCAGAAGACGTCGTAGACGAACAGCCCCCCCAGCAGGATGCAGCCGGTACTGACGTTGTTCAGGTGGAGCAGCTCGACTCCATTCAGGGCGAACGCCAGGCCGAACAGGTTATTGGCTATCCAGTGCTGTGACGTCACAAAACAGGTTATCACATGATCTATCGCCATGGCAACATAAAACAGTGGTCACGTGTGTCAGATAATATTATACGTAACAGCTGATGAAGAGACGTTTGACCTGTAACGTTACCTTTTTGAGCAGGTACCAGACTCCCACCACACTGCTGATGAGCAGACAGACCAGGTTCTTGGTGTCAAACTCATAGTTCACTATTTCTGCAGACAGACGGAGACAGAACAGGTCAGATGGAAATCAAAAGAATAATAAACCTTCTTTATCTTGAGTTCAGTTTGATCCACAGACGTCACTCAGTTTCTACTGAACAAACAGTCCCCGTGAAAACCGTCTCCGGTTTGCTTGTTGAAGGAGATGTTGAATATTCATGTTTTCACACAGCGAGCACAAAACAAAGAACATTTTTAAAATTCAGTCAACACAAATTGTGTGAGGCAGAAATCTCAAAACTGCCTGTGTGTAGGTTTGGGGGGTCGGGTGTGATCTACGAGCTTAAACCAGACTGATTTAATTTACGGTCGGCTCAGTATGATCACGTTTAATCCACATTTTATTCCTCAGTTTTGAGTGACGCAGGTTCATGTTGAAGGTTCGTTATCCTACCAACAGCCGGCTTTTAAACTAAATGAGGGGCTAAAATACAATAAGATTACAGGGATCATTTCCCGGATATTTGCTTATTTTAAACAATTTCCAGGTGTTTCTATGACTGGAAATCTAGGCTCTGAATATCCAGAATCAATGATACCAAACCGGTTTGAACCTTTTTACACAGGCCCAACCCTCTTGTGAAGTCACAGGATGCTGAAAGAGAAAAACCTGTTGCACAATGAGGGATGTTGTTTCATTTGAAGGGCTCACCGTTTTGTTAGAGGTGTGTGAGGAAACATGTTGTTGTGTAATTTAACACCCAGTGAAATCAAACTAAACAGCATCGAGACCACAATTCTGAATCATCAGCACAAGATCTGATGATTAAACACCTTTAAAGCAGCAGTTCCCGACCTTTTCTATCATTTATTAAACTGACACATTTAATGGATATTTCATATTATATTCAAACTGTACAATGAACCCATACAGTGAACTCAGTAACTGCAGGAAGTTTGTGTAAAACCAGAGATTTAGATGAATTCTGAGCAGATTATTTCCTGTTTGGGGAACTTTTTATACAATTCTCTGTCTGTATTATGTTTTTTTTTAAAATCATCTTTAACAATCAAACAGACTTAATAAGGTTCTTTTTTTTTACAAATTCAGTGTTTTCTTGTCCCCGACGCTGAGCCATTGTTCTATTAGATCAGTGGATGTTTATCAGAGACTGAAAGCTGGGTGAATGCATCTTTAATAATCTAAACCTTAAAAATAACTGTTGTATTTAGTTGTATTCACAGAAGCGAACAAGATGCTGAGCTATAGGCCTACTGAGTATATCTTTTAAATCAAGAAGGCCTTGCGACCCTTGAACCTTTGAAGCTTTGGCTTTGACCCTTTGGTAAGCAGACAGCAGGTCTCACCTTCTTTGGCCTCTCCGGAGCCCTGAGTGAAGAGCAGCTGGAACTGTTTGTTTGGGAAAGAATCTGGAAAGATTCTGGACATCAGAGGACTGAGAGACAGAAACCAGAAGACAGTTAACATCTGTGCAGTTAAACTGATTTCATTCGCCTGCGTTTGAACCTGCGTATCTTTACCTCATCGTGTGAGACAGCGCCAGGACGCCCAGGCCGAAGAAGTAGACGGACAGCAGCAGGTTGATGTACTCTTGAGAAAATACCTGCAATCGAAGCACAAACGTGACACCTGGTGAGTGCGAAGGCAGCGTTTATCCCACTGACGTCTGCAGCTACTTTACCTGAGGCTCTTACCTGCGAGCCCTGGGAGGACCGGCCGAGAAAACCCCCCCCCCTACCTGAGGCTCTATCTGAGGCTTACCTTACCTGAGGCTCTAACCTGAGTCTACCTGAGGGCCCCTGGCCAGAACAATGACATACTGGGACTTCTATGTCT